TATATATGTAATAGAATGACCATGCTCTCTGGTATTAGGGATTCTACTTCTTTATATTTCACTGTCACCCACAAGAAAGTTTAAGCTTGAAATTATCTGTAATTGACAGCTGTTTGGCATATAAGAAAATTAATAAAAAATATGATTGCTTAGCACTTAAGATTAAGAAATCTTTTGTAAGCTTTAATAATTTTTCTACCATATTCCTCATTGAAATTGGAAACTGGTTTAGTTGAAAGAACAACCATGGATACCAGAATGAAATGTTGGACAGAATTTTATGAAACTTGCTAGTGAAAACTTGGTTCACACTTTAAAAGTAAACAAGTTGTCTTATCATAAATTGATGAAATCAACAAAAACATGAGCATGGATGTCTTTTGGCTTAGTTTCCATTCTTGGCAGTAGAGGCTTGCTAGAAAATTGGACTGAAAATAAATTAAAAAGGTTACCTGTCCCAATTGCAGGGTGCGTACTGGTATTCAGAAAAAAATTCCATGACTTTTCCATGACTCTCTGAGACCATCAATATATTTTTCCAAGACTATATGTCAGGTTTATCATGACTGAAAGTTCAACCGTGCATATTCTTTCATCTCCTACAGTTGATAAATAGCAAATGTGTAAATGCATAGAGCAGGCAGACACAAAGGAACAAAAATGACATCTGAAAATCAAGCCCACACTGGTATTGTTATGAATTCAATAGTGTCAAATCACAACAAATATTGAGTAATGGACATAAGATTGTACATGATAATGTCAATACAGTTCAGAACACTCTTCAACGCCACTACCCTAGCATTCAACTGGCAGCTATTTCATCAACTTTTTCTTCAATGTTCACTTCAAGAGTGTCTAGCTCCTGTTGCATTGTTTTCAAAGATTGCCTCATGGCGTTGAACTTTGTGATAATTTTCAAATCCCCCTTTCTCTCCATTGCTTCTGCATATTCATTGGCTGCTTGCTCAAGCACCTTGATGCCCTCCTCCGTACGCCTTTTCTTCTTCAGTTCACTAGCTCATCCAACAAAGCCTTCCTCTTCTGGGTTTTCTGGGCCTTTGCATTCTGCTCTTTCTCTTCTGCCAAATAAGTACCATCAACCGGGGTTACTCGGGACGATTTCGAACGTTTTTCATTCATAACTTCTTACCATGAAACATTTCATAAACAAGTTTAGGCTCATTTCAAAGCTCTTTGCAAGGGCTATTACATGGCTTCTCAAAAAAAAACATATGCTATTCGTAAGGTGCCAGAAGCAAAAAAAGAGTGTCCCGAGTAGCCCCGTCGAACGGGGCTACTCAGGACACTTGGAATAAAACTTCTTTTTAAAACATTTGAAGCATGCAGAGTGTACTCATCCATTACTAACAGTACTCTGAAGTCCTCCTCTTTTATTGTAGATGATGTAGAGGTAGAATAAATGACATTTTCTGTGATTTTTACTTGTTTTCCCTTTATTGATATGATATTACGATATACATTAATTACCCTATTATTGATGCGATATTACCGTATTATTGATGCGATTTTACCATATCCATGAACATGCCATTGAGCATTTACAACAACCTTGTCCACTGCAAGCTTCATATCAGCAGCCTTATAGCATTTTTTCTGTATCTGTAAGCTTACAGGACAGCTTGTAATTTCACACCATTTTAATTAGGTTAATTGAATTTACTATAAAAAAAGATCGTGAAAAACATACCTGAAACAGAAAGGAATGTTTTAGTGACAACCATCATATGTTTTGGAGAAATAAATCATAGTTTAGGTCAATTACTTTTCATTCTATGATGCCTGGTGCACAATTCTATATATGACATTCTATGCACAATTTTGTGATGACCGATGATGCACTAATTTTTCGATGAGTGAATTTTTTTCGCTGAGCAAGGTAAATGTAATCAATATTCTTTGTTTTTAATTAATTTTTTTCTTAACTGGAGCCTTTGCTGAGGTTCTACTGTAAATGCATTTTTGGGGGTATCCCGAGTAGCCCCGACATGCAGAAATGACCGCCATTTATTTGGATTGAGGTATGTAAATTCTGCAAATAAAGTTTTCATGCTGACACTTGTCTGCCACTTTCTTCCAAGCCAAATTTTTTAATACTGCAAATATTTTTTTTTACTACAGACCTTAGCAGAAGTAACTTTTCAAAAATATCGTTTTTCACCATTTTTTCAGGAATTTTTCAAAGCTAGTAAATGTAGTATTTTTGAACTTCCTTTATACTACATAGATAGGAAAAATGTTGACGTTTATGCCACTATATTCAGTTTTGCAATATTCCAATTAGTTTTGCTACTACAACAGTTTTACGCCGTGTCAGAGGACTGACCCAAGTTACCCCCCTGTCCTGAGTAGCCCCGGTTGACAGGATTGTAGGCTATTTTAGCACTGCCAGCTGCAAGCAGCATCTTCTTGGTGATGGTCATCTTTTCCAGGCCAACAACATGCACAACATGATCAACCACAGCATGCAGGGCTACAGTTGTTTGCTCTTTCATGTTGTGCGTCATGATTTCCTTGTTGAACAAAAACCCTCTTTCAACCATGGCTTGGCCATGAGACAGGAGCATGAGCTTCTGTACATTGTACTACATTCCAGAGCTTCTTGTAGCTGCTCTTTGACAGAATGGCATGCCAAAAAGTTTCCAGTTGATCAGAAGTTGAAAATGCTTGAAACTGTGCATTGAGATTCAGTTCACTGCAATGTTGTGATTCACCTCTAAAGCTGCACATCTCATTGCACAACACCATCTACATCTGTGTTGGGAAATCTCTTGGCAAGTTGGCATCAACAAGAAAGTGAGACAGTTTTTCAACTGAGTCTTGTCAGCTTCCTTACAGTCCTTCTTGATGAATACTTTTGGCACCAGCCATCTCAGGTTCCTAACAAGGCCATACCTGATAGGGCTCTTGTCCAGTAGCTTTTGTACTACAGCCTACATGAAGTCTCACGCTCGTGTCTTGAAAGTGAAAACTTGCACTGCACTTGCCTTTTTGTAATCTTGTCTGCAAGCTCTCTTTTTATTGCTGGGTTGGCCACGAAACCAAACCAACATCAACCTTATTGAAGGAAATCAAAATTCCTTTTGTTTCATGACTTTCCGTGACCTGAAATGAAATCCAATGACTTTCCAGGCCTGGAAAATGAAAAATCAAATTGTATGGCTTTCCAGGTTTTTCATGACCATGACCAGTATGCACCTTGCAATTGTTAAACTACTAATCTAAAGGTATGTTATTATGTTAACTTTGTGTTACAACATTTTGGATGAAGGAAATTTTTACAAATTAATTTAGTATTGATAAATTGTTCAAGTTATAAAATTTTTAAGACATTTATTAGTTGCAACACTAATTTTCTTTAATGAATCACCAGCCAGCCAAGCATTTCTAAATCAGCTTCCTTGTTTTGTTGATACATGCCCAACTGTGCCTCTTACTTTCCCACAGTTTTTGGAGCTGCAAGATAACCACCAGAAGAATTATCTCTTATCTAATTACTGAAAAAAAATGTGTGATAAGATAAGATTCTATCATCCCTAGCAACTAGATTCCAAGTGCACAATCCTTTCTGGAAAAATGAGCAGAAGCTACATGAGAATTGAAGAAAAATGCATGTTTGTTCTGTGGCAGCATTAGTATAAGCAGAAATCTGGTCATTTTTTAACATTTACATTTTACACTAGTAATCTTGCTAATCTAGTAGTACCTGTTGGCCGTAAGGTTTGGTACAAATTTTACAGTGCAAAATGCTATTCTTCAAAAGATATTAAAAACTATAAATTTTTTTTTTTTTAGAGGCCAGCAGTGACCTGCAGCCTGCACTATACTCATCTAATCATCATCAATCTAACATGCAGCACAATACTATGGAAGTTCAAAAGATGGATCCCTGGCTCATGTTCTTCTTCTTTTTGGGGTGTCTTCACTGGGTAGACTTAAAGCCACAGGTCGACCTCGAGGACGGCCGTTGGGCCTGAGAGCCCCGGGTCATGGTCATCCCCCTGACTCAGCGCTGACTGGCCCTGAGCCCCCTCCATTGCAGTCTTTGCAGAGGTTCCTTGCTTTCACCCTACATCTTTCAGCAAAGAATAACGTTTCCAAATACTCCCTTTTCATGTTGCAGAAACAAGACAAAATCTTCTATCTCAATGTCAAATCCCTAATTAGGCAAATTAACTATTTCTCTCTGACATCTGGCGTCGCCAGTACTGCAGTACACATGTGCCGACTAACCAGCAGCCAGCTGACGAGTGTAAACAAACGCACGCGGACAAAATCATTGCGATTTGAAAATTTTTGAAATTGTAAATCACCTTGTAAATTTCAAAATCGGATAGCTTCAGTGTAATATTACATCAAGGCAAAAATTCTCGAACGTTTTTTAGTAATTTCCACGGGGAATGTAGCTTCATTTAGTGTCAATAATAATTTGAACGTTGATTAATGCGCAGTTTTAGACGTTTTCCATTTGTACATTTTCATAGCAAGCCTAAAATGTTATTTCCTATTATGCAGAAAATTCGAACTTGAAATCTGTAGCAATCTTCTAGTGACTTTTAGGTCAAAAAACCTGTTGGCTTAATTTGTGACTTAGGGTAGGGCCTTGGAAAATCACCAGTGAAAAATCAACGTCAACGAATCCATTTTGCGTCCAAGTAGCATAGCACAACGGTTTCAGCGTTTATTATGCCGTAGGCCTGTCGCCGATTCTTAACATGGCAGAACATTCACAGCTCGTTTCGGTCTCGAACTCACGACTCCAAATTTTGCTGTGCTTAACCGCTCGGCCTCCTCGACGATTCTGACCAGAAACTGGTGCACAGAGCTGGGATCGAACACGCGCCTCTCTGCGCCAATCTTGGTACTCTGAACTGTAACCACTTGGCCACAGTGGCCCAGTAGACACGTGAAGCAACTGTTTAGGATAATGCGTTTGATTCCGGTGTACAAAAATTATGCTTGAATGAAGGAATAAACTAAACATAAACTGTGTTAGAAAAACGACTCTTTTAGAGATTAAGGTCATATTTTTCTCGCAGGTATTCGGTGACTCCGACAACACTAGCCAAGCTGTTGAAGTATCTACGTTCAGCTCGACTTAGTTGCTTGTCTAGCATGTAAATGAGGTGATGGTGGAAGTTAGTGAAGTGAGCCCCAGTCTCTAAGCTGATCTTGATCCAGTCCTCGACACAGCTAAGAGGCGTGTAGTCCTCGCCAGCAAACATTGCAGGGTTGGCCAATAGACCCCGAGCTGCCATCACACCTGGATACATTTTAGGCGATCACGTCTTTATATTGATGACGTTACACAATTGTAAATAATTGACGAAAGTATATATTATTATCATCTATCATTAATGGACAGATAGATACATAAATAGGATGATGTATCGGTAGGCGACACACCCCACAAATTACAAGCAGAAATAAACTATCCAATACTCGAAAGTATATGACTGCTCTCCTTGTTCAAAGAAACTTTACATATATTAACAACTGAAATAGTTTCAGCAGTTATAGCACTTTCTCTCACGGTCTATCCCAATTTTCTCTACATTTTGGTCAATTTCTTGGCACTATTTTAGAATAAGTTCCTATTTGGTAGCTCCTAACAAAAAACTTTTTAATCTAGCGAGAGGAGTATAATAGACGACATAATAGACGTTCAAAAGTATTATGGGTTCTACCTCAGTGCGTACCGTCAAATGAAGAGCCTGGCAATTAATTGTTGATTGCCGTCTATAATGAATAACTCGATAACAACACTGTACGTGGAAGCCGAAAATTTGGCAGAAGTTGCCACACCAGCCAACATTAGTAAAAGCAAAATTTAACAGGTTCTAGGACGCACCTCTGACACCTGTGATCCGCTGCACGCGGTGTGCGTCCTCGAGACTCCTGATGTCGCCGTTGGCCACGACCGGCACATCGACGGCACTCACGACGGCAGCAAGCGTCTCCAAGTCCACGGGCTCAGAGCGCTGTTCTGAGGTGCGCGCGTGCACTGTCAGGAACGACACGCCTGCCGCCTCAAGCTGCCGACACAGAGACACCGTCGACCTGCCGGCATATTCGCTCGTTATTTGTACTTGAATTTACGCACTGAATTATGTTTCGAAATTGAAAAAACAATCTGAATTACTTTTCAGATCACGCGCAGTCTTTGTGTTGTACTGGCAGTAGCGGCGCGCCTACTCCATCGACCGTCGTTCGAACGAGTTCACAACATGTGACGCTACCGTCACACTCGCGGCTAGACTCCAAACATGTAATTACTCTCGGTAGAAGCTTTTATTTTCTGTGTGACGAATTCGTCACACCAGGGCTTAAAGGGTTAAGATGAAAATGGGTCAAAGGAGTTGAAGCTTGTATATGAATTTCGAGGGTAACAAATATCAGACCACACTTGAAGATAATTTCCTTATGCCCGAGTAACATGAAACCAAATTCTGATCGCGTAAAATAGATATAACGTGTTTATATAACGCATTTACGTCGAGCTTGTGACAGTACGGTATCATCAGGAACTCTACCTGGTGTCTTTATGTATCCTGATCTTGACAGAGATCGTGTAGTGCGGGTTGGCGACAACAGCGCGCGTTCGTCTCACCATTTCAGCCACCAGCTCAGGCTTGTGGATAAGACACGCTCCGTAGCCCTCCTGCATCGCCCACCTCTGAGGACAGCCGCAGTTCAGGTCACATCCTGAGCTGTGCCTGCCACAAACCGGATCATTGGAAAAATTTCGACGTATGACTAATCTATTTCAATTAAGGATGATTTTTTATGTGCTTAGAGACATGTTTAGAGGTGGACAAATTTGAAATCCTGTATTCAACTCTACTTCCCACATGCACACACATAAGAATGCATTAAGGAATATGAAACCCTTATTGATATTGCTACTGCATTGAAAACTGATACGTACAATTTTTCTACAAAAAGTCTTTGTATCGAAGCTCTTGAAAAATGTCCTTGCATCATTCTATTTCAATTAATTGACCTCCTTATAGACCCATTTAATTTGTTGACCACTTAGGTTTTTTAATCTGCAAACAATGGTCATATCAATCATTGTACTGACATTAATCTTATTGGCATCAGTATACTAAATTCATTCAAGATATAGGTATTTCAAATTCGACAGAACATTACTTAGCAATATTCATATGTTCATAACAGCTTAGTAAAAATTTCCCTCTTGTGATCAATGATTTACAAATTCAATACACCGATGAGGCTCGTATCATTTCAGCAAATAGCACCAGATGCAATGGAGGCGCATAAGACGTACTCACGGCGCGACGAGCGCTGCAGCTGATGCCAGGCTCTCAGCGTTACTGGCTGCAAACTGAACGATGAGCGGCCTGTCATCTGCATGGAGATGAGAGCACTTTTTCACCTGGGATTGTATTATCTAAAACTAGTTCAAGGGGCATCAAGCATGGACACTAGCTAAGGCTAACATGCTCGAACAGAAGATAAAACATAGAAAGTGTAGACACGCAGGATGATTTCATAAAATTTGAAAGAATGAATGTGAGTATTTTTACCATCAAACAAGCTAATTAAGCCTCCAGTCCAATTACAAAATACCACTATAAACCTCATTTTGCACAGTTCCTCCTTAGTAATCCACCCACCAGTGCTGGTGCTAAAGTCGCTGTGCCGAGCCTTTTCAGATTTAACAAAGGAGTCTGACACTATCATGGGTGTAAAGCATAAGTCACACCCATACTTGCGTACCAATGATCGAAATGCCAACCTGAAACAAAATGTAATTTTATTATGCATACAACAAAAAAATTTTTTCAATGTGCTATATGAAATTGTCCCGAATTTAATGTCCACCCGTTTTATGCAAATTCATTTACATTATATTTGATCAAATAAGGCAAAATGTATTGTTTTATATAGACAGATGGATACTGACTGATTATGTGGTGGATACATGAAGTTCCAGATTTTACTTTATCCTAAATGGTTGTTTAAAATCATGTATGAATCAACACAAGGGTTAAATTTCAATGCATCCACTGCATGAACTCTCATTAGATATACAGGATCTCCCACAAAAGTATCCCAAAATCTACTCTTGATTATTTCACTGCTTTATATCATAATTATATTTCCTTTGTTTAATTTTTATTTTTTTGTAGTAAGTACCAGTATATACAAATATTTTTGGAAAACTAGATGAATAACTACTTAACTGCAAAATAAAGACACCCACTGAAATAGGTAGAAAATCTATAAATTTGTTTTACAGAAATTTTTTTGTATTCTTTCTTAACTAATTGTTGGTCTATAGTATAATTTTTTGTAAAAAAATGCATTATTAACAGAATTAAACTACTCTTTGTTTATTCAAATCTGGTTATTGAAGCACTTGTGAGTAGTTTATCAAATACAATTGCAGTGGTACTGGAATTGGACAGTGGAATGTGACCACATCAGAACTTAACATTATCAGAAGTTGATGCAAAATTTAGTTAAAATCACAATGCATAATTTTGTGGAAATTTTAAAGTTGACAACATAAATGACATATGAATGAGTATACTTCCTTTTTGCCTAACACCTAATACTGGCAATGTAAAGCATGCTGTTTTGAAAACCATGCAATGTTTTCATCAAATGCTACAAGTTAGCAATAGTCTGCAGCTGAAAATGGAATCAGAATTTGACACGCTATTCCTGGAACAAATTATACAATGACAAAATTTTTACCACTTTATACATAGCCTGAATGCAAATGAAGCCTCCTCTAGTATTGCTTTGGAAGAGCAGAAGATGGAAATCTGCCCCATAGACAATCAATGAGATTATCGGATAATCAAGCTATAATATACTGCTTCCTGAAGAAGTTGGGAGGGAGGTGGAAACTTATACCAGCTAATTTCACCATTGGGATAAAAGATTCATTTTCCAATCAAATAAAACATTGTAACTCATATTTAAAAGACAAATCTAAATGGGTCAGTACATTAACTTTGAGGACATTTGTTGTGGAAACTTTTGTTTTATGCCCTAGGCTTTGATTTGTAGGTTTTACAAGTTCCAGGACTGAAAAATATTCTGCCTTGCAGGAGGCAGGAATGATGAGACACAACCTAGACCTAGACCATAAACTAAGTTTGGTGTGAAATGATTCAACTAATTTACTTCTTATACTAAGAACTTAGTGAACTAAATAAGTTAAATCCCACTTTACTTGAATGAGATAATGCTTATAAACACAAGTTTATGGAAGAAATTAATCCAATATGATTGGTGATCAGAGATTTAAAACCAAATTAAGCAATGCTAAAATAAAATTGCAGCTTTGCCTAAATAGCCTGATACAGCATGTACCATATATGGCCTAGTGTATTAATAATAACCAAACAAATTGTTTCTAATTCCTTTATTATATTTGAATACCTACTTGTATTTCAACAGTATGGATTAATTTCAAGTCGCTTAATACTAAAATTGATAAAATAACCTCTACATTTTTCATAAAAGTAAAGCAAGAATGTAATGCTTGAATGCAAAAATAAAATAAAATTAAACTCCCCAGGAGCTAGGCACAAGTAAACAATTGAAATTATTTGACTATAGATAAATAGAAGGCAATAAAAATTTGCTTGTAGAAAATTTTCAATGTCTTTAAGGATACTGGTAATACTTTTCATTCTAATTCGGACAACAAGTTAGAACTAACTTTGAGTAGCGCACCATTGGAGCAGCAACTGTGACCAGCTCCTTCTCAGCAAACAGTTCCATGGGACTCAGAATGGCTCCAGCATGTTGCTCCATTCTGAAATGATGAGATTTTTTCAATTTGAATCTATATCTGAATCGTATAAACATGTTTGATACATAACAGAGTAGAAAAAAAAAGAAAATTATATTATGGCATATAAATGTAACAATATAGCTAGTGTTTCATCAATCTTATTTTTAAAAACTTGACCATAATCTAAAAGACAAAAAAAATTCGACCATTGAGAGAATCCCAATCTGGCATATTAGGCAAATTTTCAATAAATTGCATGTGAAAATTTTCCTTTCAGTGAGATTCTCAAAAGTTGCAGGGAAAAATGAGTCTTCTTTCTTAATTAACATGGAAAATTAGGCAAGAGCCATAGAAACAGGTAAAAATGTTTGCCAGGGCCCAGGAGGCCCAAAACAGAGGTTCTTGTGTCATTCATGTTTTAGTTAAATTGGGATTCTGCCTATTTTCAAGTTTATACTGAGAGTTTTTAGCTTAGGCCATAGAGTACCTACTTGAGGCTACTTCACACTTCACAGTTCACACAGACTTGCACTTGCAGTCACACTTTCACAGGCTTGTCTCTTGAGAAGTTGAGGCTTTCTATTCTAAGTACCAGTCCCAGTGTCAGTCAGTACCCCAGGCTCCATAGACTAATCTCATTGTCAAAATATTTCCTAAAATTTCCAGTATTACAGTGTAAATACTGTAGACAGGAATCACAAAGAAAAAATGCTATTACATCAACCAACAATTTAAGAGATAACCATATCTTTCTATCTAACTCCAAGCCACAATTCTTGATACTTGAGACTACTCAGACAGTCAGACTAGTGTGACCAGAGATGGTCTGATCAGGTCATGTGGACAGTAGCGCACTACATGTAGACGTAGTGGCCGCTACATTTTCAGTAGCGGTAGCAGTAGCGGCACTACATTTAAGCAATTGTAGCGGTAGCACTCGGCAGGCCGGCACCTGCTACATTTAGAGCATGTAGGTAGGATGTAGTGGTAACGGCCACTACATTTCAAAGTAGGCTAGCCCTGCCCAGCTCTGAGTGTGACTTTGTGACTGATAGAAAAAACTAAAATCTACCAAGCAAATAGCCTTAACATGTTAAAGAATTTGAAAGCATAAGATTTTAGCATTAGCAAAAATGTTGAATAATCAAATATTAAAAATTCCGATTTTGTATTTTTCCAATCTTACTGAATCAGTGAATCAGAAACACATTTTTTGGGAAATTTGAAATTTAGCATTTCAATCGGGCAGTTTAATCAAGAGTTAGATTATTTGCAATTTCAATTTGCATTGAAGATACTAGTTCATCATTTACATATAGAAAAGCCTATTCCTGACTAGGCTTCCTAGTTCCTACACTACTACTGCTAGTAGTATCATAGTATGGTAGTAGTCCAGACTCCAGACTGGCAGACTACCAGTCAGTGAGTCACTACTTACCTACTAGTGCCTAGTGCCTATTGGCATAGTGGCAAAGCAGAGAGTTTTTTAGACTCTCCCTCACGTTCATTTTTCAGTCCTATATGTAGACCAGTAAAGTATCCTGGATACCTGCATTATCCTACATATGAAACTGGTTTAAATCATGAGTAAATGAGGAAATTAAAAATGAACTGATTCTAAAAATTCTATGGTTTGTCACTATGCCTATTGGTTTCAAAAATTAAAATGGCAGAGATCCAGAGAACCTCCACAATAAAGTTGAGCTGAGGTTTGGCAAGTACCTAATTTATTTTCCACTCTTGGATTCAATAAATCAACAGGAGCAGAACTGCACACTTGAGCTATGAGAATTTCCTTATCTGACAATAGTGAATAGTGACATTTAACCAGTTTACTTCTTAATTATGGATAGGCTAAATCCATTTTACAAAATTTTAATCACGCTTATGATAAAGTTCAACTGGCGAGAAATTTTTGGTCCAACACAAGATGCAACAAATTCAATCAGATCTAGTACCTGACACCTGTTGCTGTTAGGTTTGATTTCTACAGAACATCAACTTGACAAGTCTAATTTAACAAACTATGCCTAGTTCCGGCGGAAATCCGGCATCCCCAACTTCGTACACGTTCCAGTCTCTCACTGTTTCTTGTGTCGGGTTCCAGGTACGCGTTGTAAACTCATGTGAGTCAGAGACTCGTGATGAACGTTTTCGAGAAAGCCACACCTCTTCCAAACAACCAAAGTGCCAAATCTACATCTTCGCATCAACATTACGAAAAAACTTCTTATTTAATTTTATTTTCAAATTATTCAGTTTAATCACCATGTTTAAACACTATATTCCTTAGGCTTAATGATATATACTTTTAAATTTACTTCTGTGAGATAACAAGTCTTTAGGGCAAAATTCTAGAACATTTTCGTCTACAAAAGTTTGTATCAAATGTCACATCAATTAATAATGTCTGTCGACATATTCATACAATTAATACTTCAAATTGTGTGGCTTTTCAATGTGAACAAATATTTTTCATTTGATTTAAACCATGATTCCAGCTCGTTTAACGAACAATACTATTCTGCTTTATACTGTAATTCTTAAAAAGAATTTTTTGATGAAAATTCTATTCCAAATATTATCATCTTGGAAGATATTTTTTATGCACCCAACCCATGCAACAAACTTCATAGCAAGTTCTCAGAATTGCAGTAAACTAGTGCCAGAGAGTTGCCAAAGGCCTCTAGATTTGAGACACGTCGCGCGATTGTTGATGTCACCACTGGCCAATGAGAAGGCCAGAAATTGACGTCATGTGTTTATTTTTGTTTCGTTACACCATTGTAAAAGAGCTCGTCTCGCTCAGGGTGACTCATTGGTGACTGGAGTGCGATCGTGAGTGGGCTGTGCGTACTAGGCTTCCTCAAGAAAATTGTGTCTAAAGCATATTAATATCGTGAATTATTCGCATCAATGTTCATGGAGACCACTATGTATAACGAAGACACGTATAAAGTTTACTCCAAGGAAAACGTAGCCCAAGCTAAGCGAAAGCTAAGGTTGGATCTAAACATTCCCGGCAATGGAGCTAAACGACAACGGCCAGCGTCGCTCAATCCTCTCCTCACATCACCAGACCTAAATATGCTCAAACTTGCCTCTCCCGAGCTTGATCAACTGGTGCTACAACAGGTTGGTGGACAACATTTGTTCCCGCGTGTCACGCACGAACAGGAGGAATTTGCAAAAGGATTTGTCGATTCCTTGGAACAGATGCACAGTCAGAATAACCTTAGTAACCACCAAATTCCTCATATTATTGTTACATCTAACAACAATACATCTCAGTATACACAACTGCAGCCACCTCAAGCACAGCCATTTGCAACAAGTAATCAGCATATCAAAGAAGAGCCTCTTACTGTACCATCATCATCTCCACCTCTTTCACCCATCAATATGGAGAATCAAGAACGCATCAAACTTGAGAGAAAAAGGCTCAGGAATCGCCTTGCTGCATCCAAGTGCCGGAGGAGGAAGCTTGAAAGAATAGGACGACTTGAGACTAAGGTGGCCGGCTTGAAGGCAGAGAACAGTGATCTACAAGCAGTTGTCAATAGATTGCGAGATCAAGTGTGTGCGCTTAAGAAGGAAGTAATGGAACATGTTCAATCAGGGTGTCAAATTCCATTTGTTACTCATGGATAAAACTTTTCATGTTTGTAAAGCATCTGTATAGGCTACAAATCTTTCATCATGATTAAATTCTTAAGCAAACATTATAATGGTAAATGGATGTCTGTGGGGGAAAGTCTTAGTTAGGTATTCAAAATATAATGAAGTTTTCATTTATCATATAGGCTAGGTTTATGTGATTATGCAGTTTATGCTGAGTCTTTTATTTGGGAAATTACTGTAAACTTGCCTATTCCTAACTGTAACCATAATGCTTTTGTTGTCTTGGTTTACAAATTTCAGGTTAGAAAAATCAAGTGTTCTGACAATAAGTAAAAAATCTCTAAGTAAAATACACAAATTTCAATAGTTTTTGTGAAATTCATCTTAAATCATCTGTGCACCTCCTTAGATTCCTGATAATTTCTTGAAATTTGTATGTAAAACATTAAATAGTTTTAATTCATTTTAAAACTAGGTATTTATGTTCAAAAATGGGTTCTGACATTTTTTTTGAATGATAATATAATCTTCTGAAATATCTATGCAAAAATGTGTCTTGAGTGCATTATGTACATTTTTTTATTAATAAGATTGCAGGGTTACACTGCAATTGTCAAGGTATGGCTTGTAGCCTATATATAGGCAGGTCTTGTTAAGATAAGGGTTGAGCTAAACAGCCTAGATGAACTGGGAATCTCAGTAATAATGTAAATTTAATCTTGGTAAATTTCTTTATTTTGAATGTGCATTATCAAGCAATAATTGGTTTCTGTAGGTTATATGCATTGAACTTTTTAATAACATTTATTATTAGAGCATCTAAACTGATGAAAATTCATATAAACAATGCTCATCTTATGGAAAGATATACAAGGAGATTGTCAGATTGCTGTCAATATTGTATTTCATAAAAAATATAATGATGAAGCATTTTCTTTTGTGTAGTATGTTAATTGATTTTATAACATGCACCCACTGTACTGCATGTGTTCCTTTCCAAAAATCCATTGTAATGTATTTCTTTATATATCAATTTAACAAAACTTGTTCATGAATTTGCTGTTACATTATGAGTTGAATTATCTTAGAACTGAAACCCAAGGCCTCTAGTCATGCATAAGGCCCACTGTTGTGATAGACAGTGTGTTAACATTGACAATAGACTATATTTTATTATCTCTACATAGAATAGTGTGCATTATTCTACTCTGTAAGGAGAGTTTTCTAATCATTTTTTATTTAAATGAAGATATTTTCCAAGTATTCAAAGTTGTTTTTTTACACCCTTCTATGAAGAGGATTAGGAAAAAAATTAATGCTGCTAGTGGCAAAATATTGTAAATAGGCCTAATGATATTCACTGCAGCTTTAATACATCACTTACTATCAATTCATTTTTAAATTATTTATCTGTGTTATGTTGAATGTTTATAGGGGAAAGTAACATGAAACCTGTTTTTTTTTCTTTATTTGTACAAACTTGGTTGTCAGAATTTTTATTGCTGTTTTTGAAGCATTATCAATTCAAACTGACTTAATGAAATTATGGTCATTTCAGTGGCCATATCTGAATTTTATCAAACAAATACTTTCCAAACATAATTCAGTCAAAAAAAGTATTTATGTTGTCTTTTTAATATACAGCATGATTTTCAAAGAATATCAGATAGTGTTCATGCTGGTTCATAACTTTACAGTAGAACACTAAGAACCAGTAATGCATAACTAATGTCGCTTCAGTGTTATACTGCATAGTAATGCAGAGCTAATATTGATGAGCTCAACTACACTTGCACGAACGTCGCATTCACAGTGACTACATGAGCAGCATAACAAACTCAAAACCGCCTGCAGGATGTATATGATAATATAAGCAGAAAAACTGACATGTCAGTTTATTTAAATTTCCTGATAAATTGTAAGATTTCATCAAATTTCTTGAGTATATTTCTTATATCCATGATACTTAACTGCTCTAATTATTGAACTAAAAATTAAAAGGAGCAACTATAAAGTTTCATTTGTCACTGAAGACTTGAGAGCGTCTCTACATCCGATGTTGCTTATCTGCGCAGCCTGCACACGTAAGCGGGATTGGCTGCACCGTACCATGTACGTCACGCAGAGCGATTGCATTTGGCAGCTCTTGGTAACGAGGACTGTTGCTGTCGTTCGCGTCTGACCCCATGTAGCTCATAGCTACATTTCTATGTGATCGACGAGTGTTGCCTCGAGCGTATACTCTGTTACTGACCCGAACAGCGATTGCGTTCAAACAAAATTTGAATTCAAGTGTCGAGGAACGTGAATTATAGAAGTTTTTAACAGCTGTTTGATAAAGATTATAATTGAATAACATGCTAAAGGCAAGTAGAGATTACAGCATAGATAAGTGATGCACGAGAATTCTTTTGAAAACAGCACATTGTCACGGAACGGATAATGTGCATTTATAAATAATGTAATGTGCATTTCAAATATGCTAAATAATTATGATTGCTCTTAGAATGCGAATGAAAATGCTCAAATCTATTGCTCATCATTATGAGAATAAAAAAAATATTTAGGAACTAATACTCAGTTGGATGGAGTCAAAAGCTAAGTGTCGCACATTAATTACGGTAAAAAAATAGCGTTTTTGAAGTCATCTGCGTTAGGAGACCGTGTAAGTAAACTCGGATAAAAGCAAGAAACTGCGCATCAAGGTTGCGGAAGCGTTGAGGCTCCATTAGGACCTTCCTCCTGTCCAACACATCAAAGAATTTCTCGAGGGTGGAAGATTAGGACGTTAATTGATCACCGAAGGAACTTTCCCGTGCTCATCATCTTCAGGCTGCGGCGAGTCTAACCTTGACACCAGCCCCGTGACTCTCCACTTTAAATAATTCTTTCCTTTACAATCCGAGTAGTATGAGGAGAGTGGTGTGGTTTTAGATGAATTATCGTGATGTTCGTTTTACGAAAAAAAAACATTTAAGCACATTATGCGTGAATCATATAAATTCGCACATAATGCGCAATATATACATACATTCGCTGTATATATTTTATCTATATTTGATATTTAGATAATAAAAATATATTTATATATATTTGATATAATAAAATGCGCATTTATTTTATCCATTTAACCATTTCCTATTTTTTTACCGATGATTGGATTCCAAAAATGCTTTATCATTGCGAATAAATGAAAGAAAATAGACATTTGACATCATTCGATGTAATTTTTTCGTAGTAAAAGTCCAGTGAGTTTTATTTTAACCACTCACTATTTTTTTACCGATTATTGAATTCCAAAAATGCTTTATCACTGCGATTAAATAAAAGAAAATCCACATTTGACGTCATTCGATGTAGTTTCTTCGCAGTAGAAAGTGCAGCGAGTATCGTTTTTAAGGAGAACTTGAATGTTGAATGCAGACCGGATGTGGTGGAAGTGCATGCGATTGTGGTCTTGTAATCTGTTCATGGTCGTTAACTGCCAACATGACCTCGTATACAGTAGACTGTATATACTGTAATATACATATATATATTTATTTTAGTCAGTAAATTATCGCGATAATTTTCTTGATCATATTGTTACATCATAAATAAACATTACGAAAAATGTAGTTGAAACCAAATAACTACGATGTTTTCTGCAAGCTCTTGTTTAATTACGAAACATTAACTCGTATGAACCTTTGACAATTTTCGTCGTGGCAAAACATTTAATAGTGATGGATTTAAATATAGCGATAATGACAATGTTGACAATAGCGATAATCAAAATTGTACGTACAACCAATTTATCCGTAACGAAATCCGTAGCTTGACTGATTTAATTATACCTAAACACATTCAGTTCAATAGGCTACTTCGTATTCATGCACAGAAACTATAAGTATTTTATCATGAAAAATTAAATACAATGAACACTCATGTCAAAATTTATTGGTCAAGACTTTACACCTTTTAGGACGAGTGTTAACGAATTTGTTTTTTTCTTCTTCTTCTTCTTCTCGAAAATTTCAATTTGGACGCAGAAAGTTTCCCCCGCCAGATTAAGCATTAATTCATAGTATTCAGAAATAATTCTAGGATATTACTCTGTGATATTATATAGTGATATTATATGTATTCTTGTTCGACGATGTAATAAGTTTCCATCGAAGGGACTTGTAGTAATGAAACACACACGTGACAAGCCGTGATGTAGAAAAAAAATCTTCGTACCAGATGATCCAGACATGAAGTGGAGCATACAAACAAATCGCCTTCAAGCTCGTGAAGTAGCTTAGGTTTGCAAAACAATTTCTGAAACATTACATTCCGACGCTAGGCCTTTCCTGGAAAGAAAACAAAATACAAAGCGATTGACGTCATCGCATTGCATCTGACGTTATAAAGTTGTTTCGATAACATCAGGAAGATTGGATGCTCCTGAAGTATTTCCTCCGTTATCTTCTGATGTATAAAAGTTCATGTCATTGTTTTCAAGCCTCTTGTCACAGATACCATGCCTCTTAGTATATAGTCAAGGTTTCAATAAATTAGTATACCATCAAGCCATCATAAAAATGCCATGTGTTCCATGTAGGGAGAGATTATTAATGGACTATGGTTAATGGATTCCATTAATGATTGCAAATATGTAATACATCAAGAATTTTTACAACAATACACAAAAAGACGTATATTCCACGTAGGAAAAAAGTCTTAATAGACTCCATGCTTAATGGAGTGCCGTTTAGTCCGTCAGCCCATTATGCTAGGAGATTTTACGTCCCAGTTTGGAAGAGATTAAAAAGTTTTCAGTCGTAGGTACCAGCGTTCTGCGAACAGCTGACTAACAAACTTCGACCGATTATTAGTCGGTTCAAGTACATTTTAAATGAAATTCAATTCTGTCCAAGTAGAAATTTATCTCTGAGATGAATCAGGAGTAAAAAAAAAACGGGGAAAGTTCATAGAGAACAATGGCATACGAATTTATGCTGGGCATAATCACGGTATATGTAGTAACTATGACAATAAAGAATTTAAAACTGTCACAAGATTTTTATATACTTGCGAAGAAAATGTTTATTATTTATAAATTCAATTATGTGGGTCCAAATTTAAAAATTTGAACTGGTGATCAATCTGGTCTCCGAAATGATTTTAATGAATATTTGAACACTTCTGTGCATATCATTGAGGCTCAGTTTATTTTCAAAATATATATTTTAATTACTCTCTTTGATTATTATGTAAGTTAAGTAAACAAAAAAACATAAATACCTGTACCGTAGCAATGCCTTTTTCTTCTCGGTGTTCCTGTTGACATAGGATATGCGAATAGACCATTCCTTTCAAGTGCGAAGAAAAATCTAGCAAGGTGGTACACAATGAACAGAGCAGACTTTAAAGCAATTACAGGGGAAGAAGCAGTGTAAGAAGCTGATGCGTTCTTATAATGACGTTTAAGAACG